ATACGAAATCTCACTTTTGCAAATCTGAAGAAATATCTTCTAGCGGGCACGATAACACGGAAATAAAGAAATACCCGATATAAAAGATAAAGAGATACCCGATATGGAAAATGAAAAATTATTTAATATAGAGATACCGGACTTTATAAAATTGTTAATTGGTGCAGTAGAAAGTGAATATTTCATTTTAGAGCCGTGTGTCAATCTTCCGACTAAAGGAAAAGATACTACAACTGAAGTACTTCTTGTACCGGGTATCGATGGATGTGGAGTCGTATTTAATCATTTAGCATCAAGTATTAAGTTTTCGGCAATAACCTTATATTATAGCGTAAACGATATCGATGCTATAAACGTTATATCAGACACAGTCAATCGTCTGACAGAAGTAAGCGATTTTATTTCATCTTAAATTTACTTCACGTCACAATGTTTTCATTAGAGAGGCTTATGTGCATCTGATACTTTTAAAAATATTGCAGCATATATTATCAAAATTGAGAAACAAGACAACAAATTTTGTAATAGTTGGATATTCTTTCGGATCTATTATCGCAATTGAGCTAACAAGAAGATTGGAGGCTGTGAACTTTAAAAGTCGACTTGTTCTCATTGATGGAGCTCCTGAACAAATACAAACAATGTATGCACATTTTACATCAAACTGGAGCGAAGTAGATTTTCAAATCATTATTCTGAGCCACATTATGAAAATGTATACAGGAGAAATTAGTAGTGAGGTATTTTGTGTATATCTTTATTTTATTTTATATAAACATTTATTTATAGTGTACTTTTTGTATATTTTGTCCTTATGAAAATTTTAAAATTTTAAAAGTATTTTGTTCTACTTATTTTTTTCTATATTTATATTGACATATCTTTTTTTATTATAAAACCAATCTGTATAAAAATAATATCTTTATAAAAATAAAACAAAAAGCTAAATAATATAATTTGATAGATTCTACTGGAATTGAAGAAGTGTAAAAGCTGGGTGGAGAGATATAATGTTTTCGCGAAACATTTCTTAGCAATAAATACTACATTCTCACCTATAAATTTGAAAACATTGTGCATAACGATTTATAAGCATTTATCTGCCATTCCACAATATGATCCTTCCGTATTGCCGCGTATTAAGTCTCCCATAATATTATTGAAACCAACAATTGAAATATCGCACATAACGCTCGAAGAAAATTATGGTTTGCATAAGGTAATTTTTGTAAAACTTTATTAGGCTATTTCTGAAAAATAAAAATTTTAT